GTATCTCTGTGTGAATGAATGGCATGGTTTCGTCTGATTCACAAATTGATTTCAACATCTGTTAAAACTACATTCCGTGATACAAAAACAGCATTATTTCTAAAATTATAGTGGATTTGGGTGTCTGCCATGACACTGAGAAATACTGTGCGCGGAGTGATACAAATGGTGAAACGGTTGTTGGAGTTCTGTTATCACTCTAATGTCACACTCTTATCAGCCAATCAGATTTGAGAACCAGAAAGAACTGTTGTATAAATTATTATATTATATTTATTCTTAAAGTATTTCCTTTCCCCATTAACGGTAAATGCGAGAAACATCATATTGATATTGTGATAATATGTTTAGCCATATCACCCAGCCCTAAATAATAATAATAAAACTCTGAAGTTCATGCAACATTTATGTACAGAAATGGTTCTTTTTGTGGTGAAGTGTTAAGTGGTTGTTATTTTCAAAAACCTGCCTTGAGGGTACACCATATTGTTCAGTTGCCTCTTTGAAGACACTAAGGGCTGTCGATCCTCGGTTATTCGTTGCAGCATTCAAGCACATTATCTGCAACATATAAATTTAGTGATACAACCACCCATCATATAAAAATTAGGGTAACTTCAGTGATGGAAGAAAACACCATACTTCTCTTACCTTCCTAGAGTATCCATCCACTGCTCCAAAAATTACTATGTTGTACCTATTAAGCAAAGATTTCAGCACAAAATGAGAATGTTGCATTTGGATTTCTACTAATACAGTGCAAAAAGACATGGGTTTATATGTTTCATAATCAAAAAAATAGATTATTTGATCTAATGTTAATAAATAATAAATACTCTTAGTGACAAAACCTTATTAACTTGTGGTTAGTATCCACATGCCAGAGAGACAGGGGCCCTCTCACAGAATATGTGCGGCGTACCACACATCCCAATCCGTACATTCTGGATAGGACTCCTATCGAATCCACTTCGTGCATTGAAGCAGCTACTCTTCTCCACTGAATGTGAATCCCCATGGATTGAAGCCTACCTTTGACCATTCGGTATCCAGCAGAGGGCATTTCATTTTTAATCTGGACAACTAATCTATTGAGGTCTTGATCACTGATGTTACTGTACGTTTTCGGGGAAAACCCAAACTCTCTAATACGTCTACGGACAGTGCGACATGAAACGCCCAGAAGTTTTGCAATGTAGCGTACAGAGAGGTTTAGTTCACAAAGCTCAGCCAAAGTCTCCATTTCAATGTTGTATTTTGGACGCCCTGTCCTGCCAGCCACGGTAGTTACTTCTGTCTGTGGGGCGGTAAGTTCTATTTGCTGTCTGACGAGTGAAAAGAGCTCCTGCAGGGCCTGGATGATTGGTGATGGCACATCAACATGTCTTGACAGGGTCTGACATAGGTACATTTCTTGACGACATGTAAATTCCAGGAAATCAAGATCAACTGGTGTTCTTATGAGGGCTAATTCTAATTTGGACAACAGTCTTGAAAAGATTTGAAATCTCAGAATGTCCTATAAACACAAAGACAAATAAGTATCAGCAAACAAGCCTTTAAAATAATGCTGTTATTCTATATTCCACTAATAAAATGAATGACATCTTCATTTAACCAAAATAAAAGTACACTATCCAGGAAATATATATAACAAACAAAATATATAAAAACAATATATATATAAAAACAAGAAAAAAACATGATACAATTATTGAAAATAGGGATCCTGCATATGATCATGAGATGTGACTCTTAATAACGCTAAAATCTTCATTAAACCTTCATCCTTTATTTTCCTTTAGCTACCTTTTTTCCTAGCAAGCCTGCTGTGTTTTAAATTATGGGAGGCACATCTGGTTTTGAAAAGTTCCACTCAAAAAGACTGAAACAAATCATTTCAAACCAAAAGGCTGCACTACAAATAATCATTATCCGTTTGACTGAATGAGTTGTAAATTATCCTACATGTTTTATAACGCCAGATATTTGAATGCGGTAGGCTGCGGACAGAATTGAGCTTTTAGGGGTTAATCATGGTATGCTGAAATATGCTTCTAAATTTCCTTTTAAAGGTGCCATAGAATGCATTGATACAATATGTTAAATTGTTCTCTGATATAAGGTATGTGGCTTAGGTAAAAAATTTTCCAGAAACGGTTTTACAAGTCCGTTTACAACCCTAGGATTTGTCGCTAGAATGAAATGGTCTATTATTACCTTATTTGGAGGGGTCATGAATATTAATGTTGAGCTCTGCTCTGATTGGCTGTTTCACAGCGCGGCTCATTTCAGTAGCTAACACAGCAAACTACTGTCCGGTGAACGATGGCGAGATTAGGTATCCAACCTTATATGTGAGGCTGTATCAGACGAGGATACAGATTTTGAGGAACAACCAATTGTTCAGAGATTGGAAATTGACCCAGTTTTTAAAAATGCTTATTATTAGTTCAAAGAGCGAATCTTTCGCTGATTGTTTACAGTGTAAGTCAC